ATGGAAAAAATATACAATATTTCGGAATCTGTCTTTAAACACTTAATTAAATCGATTCCAAATTTTGTATTTTAAACTTATTCGGAAAAAATGGTGAATAACATCTCATTAAATTTGTTACAAATTATTTTTTTATATGCTATTTTATAATGTTGTACAAGATATTTTTGAACGTTCTTTGTTATATTGTTGTTATATTTTTCTTAAATTACTACAATACTAAATTTCATAAGGTTCCATGGAGTAGTTTTAATTTTGTTTAAAATAATTCATTGATTATCTAACTAATACATAAGTCTTAAAACTACTAATATCTTATATTTTTTAACTGACTGCAAATCATTTTTAAAGTAATTATAACCAAATAAAGAAGTTAGAAAATAAAACTATAAAAAATACTTCCAAGAATTTGGTTTTTATTTATTTTAATACACATTAAATACACCACAGATTACAAATTTAATGTTTGCGATTACAATTTGTTACTGTTTTCGACATATATACATAAATATTATTATTAAGAAAATTCATAATAATTATATAATAGATCTAAATAACTAGATTGATTATTATAAATAATTCGTTTAATTATATATATACGAATAAGAAATTTTATTCATACAAGTCAAAACGCACATGTCAAAAATTAGCATGGAAAAAATGAGTAGGGGCAAAGTTCTTCCATTTGGGCTCGATAATGAGGGTGTTTGTAATTCTGCTGTTATATCTATTGATAATAATACAATAGATAAAACAACAGTAATTACAAACAAAAGGCTAAACAACAGAAACAGCAGAATTACATATTGCACACTCTTTGCCGAGCCAAATGGAAGAACTTTGCCGCCTACGCATTTTCATGCTAATTTCTGGTAGGTAAGTGTTCTCTTGGATTCAAACCAAGCTTCTTTCATTCGAAAAGAACAATGGGCCTTTTCTTGTGATTAACTATATACATGCAAACATTTATTTAAGATTGAAGCTTATATAATCCACAATAAATTCCTTTATTTCTTTAGAAATCCGTAAATTTATTAGAAGCATTATGCTATTTTGATGCCCCTTTGTCATAATTTTTTCGTGCATAAATTTATTGCTCATTTTATATTTATGTTAACGTGCTCCTTTATCCCATTATTATAAAACCTATTTCATAGAAGTTACAGAAATTATTGTCAAACATTACTTTAAATAAAGGGCAGAAACAGTTTTTGAGGATATAAATTTTATTTATTTATTGGAATATGTAACTTTATCATTTCCTTTTAATGCATAAATAGTTTATATATATATACATTTTTAATTATTCCATTTTTAAAAATACTTATGCATTAAAAAATTTACTTCTATTTTACTATAATAGGTACAAATTCTATTTTATCTTATTAAAGTCATTTAATGAATTATTTTAACAATCAAATATTTTTTACTTTGAACTTAGTCAATATATTAATGTATATTGTTATATATGTGTCAAAAATTGTAGTTTAATAGATAAATTTAAAAAGGCGCTCATAATGAAATTTAAAACAATGATTGGAAGCATTAAAAATAAATATATTATCACAATGATTAAAAAAAGTTCTTTTTTTTTAGGTGACGTAAATCATACTGTAATCAAATAAATAATTCATTCCATAATACCTTACAAATAATTTCTGTTTTATGATATAATACATTCACATATTTAATTAACTGGAGCGTCTACCATTTTTAAAGAAATATAATATTATTCTTTCTTTTATTCTACTTAATCGTACTATTTCTCAAGAAAAATTAATTTTTTTATCTACTATTGAAGACAATAAATTTAAAAAGAACAAATCTGCACATTCTACAATTTTTCAGAAGATTTTCAATTCTGGAAAGTTAAATTATTTTACTGCCATAACTTAAAACATATTTACTATCTGCCTGAATTTCAGGGGGAAGAAAAAACCTTCATTTTTAGATTTTTTTTTTGTCCGTTTTTCTTTCTTTTATATCTTTAGATAAACTCCAACTCTATATAATTTTATGTCATCATTTTTATATATCATTTCATGATTATATTATAACTGTATACCATTTTTATTTCATTTAATTAGCTGGAGAGTCTACCATTTTTAAATAAATGCAATATTATTCTTTCTTTTATTCTACTTAATCGTACCATTTCTCAAGAAAAATTAATTTTTTATCTACTATTGAAGACAATAAATTTAAAAGAACAAATCTGTACACTCTACAATTTTTCAGAAGATTTTCAATTCTGGAAAGTTAAATTATTTTTACCGCCGTAACTTAAAACATATTTACTATCTGCCTGAATTTTGGGGAGAAGGGAACCTTCTTTTTTTTTTTTTTTTTTTCGGTTTTCTTTATTTTTATATCGTTTTTAGAAAACTCCAACTGTATATCATTTTATTTCCCATTTTTAAAACGATGTCATTTCCTCAAAACTGAAACAGAATTTTTATCACGTAGCACTAAAATTTGATGTAGAAGATGGAAATTGTGGGAAAACAACATTAAACATTTGTAAGGAAAGATCTCCCCCACCCCCTCCCACCCCAAAATTACTTCTGGCAAATAAAACCAACACAAAAATATCCAGAATGACTTTGAAGAAAAATGAAACCGAATGCTTGGCCGATGCTTTTTACCAAAGTAAAACATTACATTTTATAGTTGATGAAGCAATTTTCACACTGTTATATTTCCTTTCTTGAACTTCAACTTTCGTCTTCTCTTTTTTTAACCCTATTTATTTATTTATTTTTTTTTTTTTTTGCCGATTTTTCATACATTTTAGCACTTTTATTAAAAGCATAAACATAAGTTACGAAATAAATATATATATATATATATATATGAGGAGGATGTGTTTCAATTCGAAAGTCATAAAATTCAGTAAAACCGCCTAGCTTTTTGAGTAAATCGACACATTGTTTCTTTTATTTTATTATTTACAAACAGAAAGAAAAAAAAAAAGTAAACGCAAAATAAAAACAATTCGAATAATACAGAAAGTAAAGTAGGGTATAACATTTATTTCTCACGGAGTAAAGAACTATCTCCACTTTTGCTTGTGCAGCAAAAAAACCAAACAAACAAAAAAAAAATACAGATAGCAAAAGGCGAAAAGATGAAAATAAATATACCCTTCTTTTTCGTTCTCTATTTCAGCTTATATATATATATATATTTTTATATCAATCCTACGTATAACGGTCCGAAAGTGGAGAGAAATATTACAGAAATGGACCAGAGGGAACTTTCTGATTTACTAGAAATTTTGGCTAGATATTCCGTCAGTACTGGAAGAGCTTGAAGAATTCTTGGTGCAAACGTTGAAGTTTAAATGGCAACCATATCCTTTTGGTCACTTGTGTCTCTTTTTGGACTATGGAACTTTGAAAGAGAAACTTTTTTCTTCATTTTCTGTTGGAGGTTATAAAGTATGAAACATTTTTTTTTTGCAAAGTATTTCGGAATAAATAAAACGGGCCCCTTTTTTACCATTTCCAAGTATAGCGATACTCACTTGTGATTTCAACGAATATTCATTTTCAACAAAGAAAACATTTAAGGTTTAGTTTTCAAATTTTGCATCATATGAAATATTAATATAGCTTTAAGTATAATATAAACTTCTTTGTGAAATTCTATAAATTTCATTTTTATAAAAGGAGTTTTCACTCTTAATTTAAAAAAAAATACTTATTGAAATCAATTAGTGGAGTTAAAAAAAAAAGGGCAATATAAATATTTCAATGCTTAATTTTTAATAATGGTATTCATTAAAATAATTAAAAATTCAAGTCTTTCTGATTTAGAAGAAATTTTGGTTAGATATTCCGACAGTATTGGGAAAACTTGAAGAATTTTTGGGGCAAACGTTGAAGTTTAAATGGCAACCATATCCTTTTGGGCACTTGTGTCTCTTTTGGACTATGGAACTTTGAAAGAGAACTTTTTTCTTCATTTTTCTGTTGGAGGTAATAAAGTATGAAATATTTTTGCAAAGTATTTCGGAATAAATAAAACGGAACCCTTTTAACAATTTCCAAATATAGCTATACTCCCTTGGGAGTTCAACGAATATTCAGTTTTCAACAAAGAAAGCATTTAAGGTTTTGTTTTCAAATTTTGTATCATAAAAAATATTAATGTAGATTTAAGTATAATATGACTTAAGTTCATAAATTTCCTTTTATGAAGCAGTTTTCATTCCTAAATTTAAAAAAAAATATTTATTCAAATCAATTAGTGGAGTTAAAAAGGTAATATAAATATAAATATTTCAGTGCTTAATTTTTAACGATAATATATATTAAAATAATTCAAAATTACCGGAAGTTGATACTAAAAAAACAATTAATAAAAATGCATTCCTATCATTTTTTTCTTGAAACTTTTAGAGAAAATATTTCATATAAAATAAACTTTATAATTTTTTTTTTTTTTTTATAATTTTTTTTTACACTGTCTAAACATTATTATTCTGTTTTATTTTAATTTCATTGTTATATTGTCTCTTTTAGCTCTCAAAAAATGTAAAAAAAATGTGCAACAAGAAAATAAAAATTTTAAAAACAGTAAAATGTTAGGTAGACTAAATATGTTAAAAGAGATTAAAATTCAATTCAATTTGCTTGTTATATGTTCATAAATGAAAGATTGCTAAGCTAAATGACGAAAATGAATATATATATATATTGTTGTTGTTGTTGTTTCTTATCCCACTTGGCTGGCCAAGCCCACGAGCCCATACGTACTCATCATTAAAGGGGAAGGAAGCAGCTTCTGTTGTTATGGAGCACCCGTAGGTAGAAGTCTGACTTTATCTCCGTGACGCTCTTACAGTCATAGGAGACCGGGACTAACGGCTTAAAGTGGATTCCGAACCACTACAAACATCCATGGCACCGCCGGGGTTCGAACCCAAAACCTGTGGCACCGAGCGCCAGAGCGCTAGAACACTCGGCGGGCATTCAGGTCCCAAATCTGTGAATGCCAACGGCACGCGATGTTCCCAGGTTGTCACCCACCAAGTACTGACCGCGCCCAATGATGCTTGACTTCGGTGATCTAACGGATATATATATATATATATGGTTCTGTAATAAATTTTTAATTAATGAAAATAAATACATTCAAATATTAATAATAATAAGATAAGTTTTAAAGGACACATATTTTGATGGATGTTATTTAAAGATAATTCTAATTATTATACAATAATAATGAATTAAAGCGAAAAATACATGAAATGCATTTATGCAAAAATAATAATAATAATAATCAAATACAAAAAAAAATAATTCAAATTGAAATGTTTATCCTATCGTTATATATATCGAATCATTAACATCTTGTTTAATTTACTGAATATAATTCAGTTATCAACTATATGAGGTATTTCTAATGTTTAAATTCAGGTGCTTTTAGGTCAGAATTTGAACTAATGAGATGTAAATATTAGCTATTTAATGAATTACCACTATGATTAAAATTTTGAAAACATAAGAATATTCATGATGGATATAAATAAAGAAACTTAAAGAAACTGTTTCTACAAGAAAATTGTAAATTTTAATGGGAATTTAATTGAATATGTCTGTGTGTGAATGGCTTTTGATATGCATATTAATAAACTCTTAATATATAACTATTACAATATACAAATATATTAACTGTTAATTTGCTCTAATATAGCTTTTAATTCAAAGGGTAAAGTTCATAACTATGCATCTCATTATTTATATATGTAAATAATGGTTTCTAAAATTAAATTAATTTGTATCCTAGTATTCCTGTTGTTAAGGCATATTGTTCAAGTGCTAGAAATTACTAAGATCAAAAGAAACAACTTCTATGATTAAATATACAGGTAGTAGATTGCACCACAGATTCATTGTATTAAAGTAATTGGTTTAATGGTTTTTGTTAAATTTCTTGATGTATACAATTAATGTAATGTACTTATCCTTTATGTACTTGTGATACAAAATGCTATTATCATTTCATAAAAGAAACGTCAATTAATCTCGATTTTCTGTACTTAAGGATAAAATTTCTTTTAATTTTGCAAATAAAAAAATCTTATAAAACATTAATATGAAAAAGGCAAATTAAAATTTTATACATATTTTTTTCAAATTATTATGTACATTAATACTATTAAAAATTACTAATAATTACTAAACAGAAAATAATTACTAAATAAAAAAATAATTATGATTTATTAATTATTAATTTAATAAATAATTTGCTAAACAGAAATGTTTTTTTAGGTCCTTACACTAAATATTTTGCAAAAAAAAATGCAAATTGAAATTTTTATACATATTTTTTTTTTTCAAATTATTATGTAACTTATATTTTATATTAATATATATATATATATATTAATAATTATATTAACATTCGCATTAATCAATCTTGTTATGTTTAATATGTAAATGCAAAAACTTTTCAAATATCACACAACTTTTGATGAGTTTTTAGTTTTTAAAAATATTTAAAATCCTGAATACTACTATTTTATTTTTAAATCATATTAGTTTAAGGCTACATTTAATTCATCACGTCACACTTTTATTATTAGAACAAAAAAGTCTTATTCAGGTCCATATTTGGCAAGAAACATGTTTACAAAAAAAAAGAAAAGAGGAATAATTTTATGCTAAATTATATTTGCAAATATACATAAACCAACACACATTTAAATGAATGTTTTTAGTATTATTCTTTAAGTGGTAGAGAATACATGTATAAAATAATTTAAATTTGTACACTATCTTGAACTAAGCATTTAAATTCATATTAACTGCACAAATATAAAATATTATCATAATTTTCACATGTTTTGAATAATGAAATTCAATCAAAATGAATTATGCTATTCATTAAAGCCAAGCCACTAATAAAATATAGCCCTTCCCGAGATTATTAATAACAAATATCTATCTATAAAATATATAAAAAATAGTTTGAATAATCGACTGATTCATTGCTTAATTAATTCAGAAGTAAAAAATAATGAATACACTAGTCATTATTCTTAATTTCATTGAAAAATATCAATTTTCATACCATCACTCATTATTCATAAATAATTAAGTTTAATTAAGCTTTTCTATTTAATTAATAGCTATGCTTTTCTAAATTTTGAATAATTTTTTTCTCATTTGAGAAAACGTATCCCTCTTCAAAATACAAATTGAGGAATTTATTTAATTCAAAGTATTTATTTTAATGTTTAATCGAAAAGTATTGTGACAAATGTTTCGAAACAAGCATATAACAAACAAGTAATATAAAAAAAAAAAATTTAAAGTCAATTCCTACTTTTTTTTTACTATATTGTAGAAAGTCCTTTATAAATAATTTTCATTCATTTTTTTAAGTTTATCTGACGCCATATATTGGTAGATATATGCAACTTAAATCTAAAAAAACTATAATTAATTAATTAAATTTAATTAATGAATTAATATTTGAACAAACTGTCTTAACATCAAGTGTCATCACTACAAGTTCAAAAAAAAAAAAGATGTTTTTGAAATTGAATGGATGAATAAAAAGTATTTTATTAACGATTGAAAATTTGAACGAGATATATATAGGGAAAGTGTGAGCTAATAGAAGGAATTGAAAAATGAACGATTATAAGAATGCAATAGAATTTTGAAATGAGTAACCTAAATAATATTCACTCTGGAATGAATGATAGACACATTTTTAAAGTAAATAAAATTGAGCATTATTAAATGGTGCGTTTATTATCTACCAGTTTGGTCAATATATGTTTATAATACTTATTTTAAAAAATATTGTTGTCATAAATATTTAGAAAATCTTATTTTAAGAAACAAATTTTTCTTTTAATTTTAAAAGAAAAATGAATTTATAGTCAATTATTAAAAGTTTTTAGAAAATTTCATAAAAATATTTCTTTCCGTCTAAGAAATACATAAGGCTATTTTCTGGTTTTTTTTTTTTTTATTTTATAAATAATCCAAATTAAAAGCTAATTATGTATATATAATTAGAAAGGTTTCCCTTTAATATCTAATTTTCTGTTCAAATTCCTTAACATTTTATAAAAATTGAACATTTTAAATTTGTAGACAAACTGCTTTTGCATTACTTTAGATGTAAAAACTATGTCTGTAAATAACTATAAAACTGCTTTATATTGTTGTAAATATGTAACAAATTTTTCTGCACTTTCTTTGCAAGACCAATCTTTCAACATCAAAACCATGAAAGTTTCAATTTCATCCATTCAGCATAAAATCAATCAGATGCATTTCCATTATTAAATCAATTTCACGTTAATATATCCCCCGTATCATGAACATCGTACCTGTATTTAGATACAATTCATGTGTATTTATTAACTGGGCCGTGCATGTTTCCCTGTGAGATTGACGTGAGACAGCGGAATTCTCACAAGAATACGTGACTCCCATCTCCGTAAATGACAGTAACATCTGGTGGTATGGAATAGAGTAGTTCGACTAGAATAGTCATATTGGTCATCATCTGGACAATACTGTCATTCAGATTCAAACGAGGTCTTGGATGTCCACCGGTAATGCTGTTAGATGGATACAATAAGTTTCTAATTAGCTTTTAAGATCATTTTAGTGTTTGTCTTCCCACTGTCGAAATATACACATTTATTTTACACATATAATTTATGTGTAACTCAACACTTATAATTAATTAATGTGTTATATAATATATAATTAATGTATTAATATAATATAATTTACACATTATGTGTTTTGCAACTATGTTAATATTTGTTTTAATGAAATCTTAATGTAATAGATTAATTAATATTTTACAACAATACTAGTTTTATTGATAAAAGAAAAATGAAATGTCAATTGACAATTTCAATATCAATCTTTATTATTATTATCTGCGGCTTCTATTGTTCTTTAAGCCCTTTTGAAGTAAATAAAACTATTAGAAAAGATTTTTGTTCTTTTATATACACTTATTAAAAAAAACAAATTTGCCTTTTCATTTGACATTCAAATAATTTGATTTGCTTTGCATTATGATACCCTTTTTTGGAATGCAACATTTCAATCGAAATAAATGTACGAAATTTTATGTCGAATTTATATTAATACATATATATGTATATATATGTATTAATATAAATTCGACATAAAATATATATATATATTTTTTTTATATATTTATGGTTTCTGGATTAAAGGTATCCAAAAGTAATTGCTTACTCTGAGAGAACCACACATTATTAGTTATAATATTTAGTTACATTTTATAGGATACCTTACATTTTAAGGTCACTGAAATTCTACTTGTGCATTATTAGTGTCACTGCAGAAGCTTAAGTAATGAACCTCTTGTTGAGTATTAAGTAGCTTTTCGAGTGTCATTATGTCAAATGCTACAGATATATGCTGTTTAAACTATTTTAGATTGAAAAACTATTTTAATAGAGAGTTTAAAGTAGTCCCAATCAAAACTTTTCAACGACATTTTAATGAAGATCTGCAACAAAGTACAGGAATACTTTCTCTTTTGATCCAAAGTGTAGAAATGTTTTCAGTTAAAATTCAATATAGACTTCGTAAAAGTATGGTGGAGATCTATCATGGAGAAAGATGAAATTCGGAAAATTCTGTGAAGCTGCATATTTTTCTGATGTAGCCTGTCCCTATACATTCCAATGACCTATGACCTATGAATGACCATTGAATGGTCATATCCATTCCATATGACCAATTTTTTATGCAAACAACACATTGATTACTGATGTGATTCTTCAATTTTCATGAAATTTGTGGGGAACTAGAAAAAGTACTTTAATTATGTCTTTACTTTTCGCAAGAACGGAAGACACATCTCAATCAATGACTCTTCGTCATAGTAATAAATTGAAAAGAAAGCGTCCCAAAAATAAATATCAAAATTTTGAATGTACAAACGTGAACGAAAATTTGAATAAAAAATTATGTTAATTCAAACATCGAAGCGTAGCACTATAAATACTAATCAAGAGCGATTTTTTTAGTATAAACCATTACTTTTGGAATACTCTTAGCC